ACAAACTTTTGCATCTGAAGTGATCAAAGAAGATGAAGTGGCTCTTACTGAAGAATTCATTCCTTGTCACTCTGGGGAGATAGAAGTCTTGGGCTTTTTTAAAAAAAGTTGTTTAATTAATGCACACAGTTAAGAGATAGTTGTGCTAAGAAAACAGGGACTATGTAATAATTAATCGTGAGATGGATGCAGTAGCAAGATAAAGCCTGTGGAATTGACTCCTGGAGTACTTACATGGCTAATTAATCCCTTTCCACCTTGGCTCTGAGTGCCAGGTGAAATTCTCTTATTGCAGGTAATGGTGCTGCTTTTTGCCATCATCTGTACAGTTGTGCTGTGCTGGTAACAGAATTATGTTTACCTCCAAAAAACTGAGAATTTTTGTTTTGCATCCTTTCCCTCCAAAGTCTTATGGAACAATATTAGGTCATGTTTTATTCATACTCTTAAATCAGGAAAAATTTCTTGGAATTAGTTTCTCTTTGTCTGAATTATTGTCTTCTCTGAGTTGTGTTAGGTAATTGCATAAAGTTTTTACTACAACCTTTCACTATAAAGACAATTTCTTTACTACATTTCATGACCTAGGGGTGGCCAAATTTTCTTTTCTTACCATGAAATTGCTTGAATGAAAGATCCATAAGACCATTGCCTTTCCTTACTGTCAATCCACACTTAAAAACTGATGACAAATAAGCATAACAAGTATTCTCAATAATTAATCTGATCAATAAATAAATCCAGCAGTGATTAGAATAACTGAGGTGGGACTGGTGCTGGTGTTGCAGTATTTTGGATGGTGCAGTGCTCCTGTGAACCTGGGGATGAGGAACAAGCAGAATAAACAACTGTTGAAACAAATGAAAAACTTCCGCGAGAAACATTCCTGTGGGCAACAAATTAGAAATTAAAATTAGATGGCAGGTAATGACTAAATAGCCTGTCTTATGCTTTGAAGATAATTAAGCACTAAAAGATATTCCAGATTTACTTATGAAAATCTCCAAATTTATGATGTAATTTTATGTGGGCCATTGGCTGGCTGGCTGCAAAGTGAAAATAGACATTTATATGCAGAGAAGGAAGGTGGCTCTCCAGAATCGTTTCACCAAAAGCAATAAATGAATGAAAACAATCCTTCTGTGAAGAGAAACCTTTGAAATTACTTGAAGTAATGGTAAGAACGAGACTGGTTATCTTCTCATGTAAATGTTATTGCTGACTGCAGAGTAGAAAGGCTTCAAGACTGTTTAAAATAAAGCAGAAAGCTTAAAATGAGCAACTTTGAATAAGCTTAACTTCTGATGAGATCATTATATTTGGGGTGATGAAAGATCCTTGCTTTGCATATGCTGAGGGAGATTGGATGGGAAGTCTAGAAACAACCCATTTTGAGAAGGGAGAGGGCTGAGTAGGAGTTGGCCAGATAGGATAAAGTCTATTCCTGCCTGCAGTTTGGGGTTTATATTGCTTTTCCCTGTTCCATTGCTGTGCCTCATTTGATCAGTGTTTCTGAGTGGTATCAGAGGCACCAGCCAAGGTCTGCTTTGTGTCTGGTCATGGAGTTTTGTGCTGTGAGGTGTAAAAGTTCTCCCAAAACCTTGATTATCCTTTGTAGTTTGCATGTACACTTGTGTCAAAAGTGAAATTGGGATTTAACCTAAAGAGTTCCTGAAAATCACAGGTTAGTTTATGATGAACATAACTTCATCATTATCATCGGGTCATGGAATGGTTTGGGTTGGAAGGCACCATTTAGTTTCCACTCCCATTAACATAATTCCACAATTTTAAGTGGGAAAGCATCAGTTTTTCACAAAATAAACAGCTGCAGAACTCTGCAGATTGTGGGTTTTTTTTCAATTTGTTCAAATCTGTCTTTATGCTTAGCACATGTCCTTGGAGGTGCATTGCTATAACCAGGTAGGAACTTAAACCATTTCTGAATGTGCCAATACAATTTCTTGTTAGCAAAAAAATAATTCAGTGTCTTTCATGCATCAGTCAAATTTTACATTAAAACAAGATAGGCTTTCTTGCCTTCTGCATTGAAAAACTGAAATCTCACAGTTCTGTTAGTTAGGACAATCTAATTTTCCACCTGGTTTTATTTATAGCCTGTTCAAAGTGCCAATATTGTCTTTTACTTGAATGCTTTTCTCACTTGCATGTGTTGGGTTTTTGGAAATAACAATACACTTCTGTTGTTATTTTGTGAGCAGATTTTGTGGAATTTTTCTTTGTTTTGTTTTTTCTTTTAATTTGGGGTATTTTTGTTGGGGAAGCTAGATAAGATATCAGACAGCTTCTTTTACAAACTGGTCGTATAAAGAATGATGGCCATAACTTCAGTGCTGCAGGCTTTTATTTTGAAAACGTTATAGAATGGGTTTAAAAGGAGCTGGTGAGTTAACTCAATTCTTAGGACAGGATTGAAAATTATTGTACAAAGATTAATAAAAGAAAGCCCTCTGTCATCTTAATAAAATGAAGAAGATATCATGTAACTGTTCCTACGGACCTGTCATACCAAATTTTTCGGACAGTTGCTCTCAGATGCAGTGGACTTGGCAAAGATAAAGTAAATCTATTTCAGTCATTAATGAGAATCTCCTATTCTTTTCCTTAATCTGTGCAAGTCTGGAAAAAAACCCCAGAAACTAGTGTTAGATCAGCCTTTGTTTTAAATGACTTACAATTTTGATAAAGCAGCTGAAGTAGTTTTTTAAATTTAGCAAAGTCTTTGTTCTTTCCAGTGAACAGCTCAGTCACTTGATACTGAGAGATAGATTAACAGCAAATTATCTTGAATTTGAAAATTAATTTGCTGGAATTTCACAGAGAACTATTGCTATTCTTTCACTTCCCAAAGCAATTAACATAGTTCTGATGAGTCAGTTTTACTATGATAAAGTGCCCAGCTCTGGAGCCTTCAGCACAGGAAGGACATGGATATGTGGGTCCAGAGGAGGCCACAAAAATGAGCAGAGGGCTGGGACACTTCTCCTATAAGGACAAGCTCGGAGAGATGGGGTGTTAGCCTAGAGAAGAAAAGGCTCCAGAACACCTTAGAGCCCCTTGCAGGGGATTACATGAAGGCTGGGGATAAACATTTAGCAGGGTCTGTTTGATAGGACAAAGAGTAATGGTTTTGAACAAAAAGAGAAGAGATTTAAACTATTTATAGGAGAGGAAAATCACAATAAGGGTGGTAAAACACTGTCATGGGTTGCCCAGAGATGCAGTGGATGTTCCATCCCTGGAAAAACTTCAAGGCCAGGATGGATGGAATTTGGAGCAGCCTGGTCCAGTGAAAGGTTTCCCTGCCCATAGCAGGGGGTGGAAATAGAGAAACTTTAAAGGTCCCTTCCAAGCCAAATTACTCTATGATTCATTTTGTCAGCAGTTTCCAACTGTAGCTGAAACTGTATCTGACTTTAATGTAGTTCAGGAATGGAATTGCTTGTCCCTTCCCAGTCCCCATCACAAGCCATGGTGAAGATTCCTGCATTGACTTTGGAGTTCAGAGTTGAAAAAGACCAGAATTTAAAGGGGAGGTGCTCCCAGAAATCCCAGAATTTTTGAATCCAGAAAATTCAGCTGTTCCAAAGGAACAGGAATCATTCCAATCAGAATATTTGTCTGCCTTTAAGCTGTTAAGTCATATAATAAAAAATAAGCCTTGAGAAAGGCAGAACAATTCCTAGACAAGTGAGGATAAGCAGTGAGTAGATGTTAAAATGGACTGTGACACTATTTACAAACAGTGTCTGTAAGGAGGTGTTTCAGCATAACAAATACTCCTACTCACACCCAACACATTGAATTAAAAAAGTGGAAGGTATTTATAAGCATAACAAAAAAACAGAGAAAGGTGATAATAAGCCATCCATTTTAATAAGGAATTAGGATTCTGACCTATTTCTTTCCCAGCAGGATTTATCACTAAGTTATAAATAACTTCCAGGTATAAGACAGGGCAATGAAGAATAAATTAACAGTATAAACAAAATACTCAGAGACTTCCAGTCCCTGCTGGCACCACTTTCTCAGGGAAAGACTGGGAGAGAGTGATACTAACATCTGAGCTCAGGTTCATTTTCTGGCTGGCTTAACTCCATTAAAGAGTTGAGTCTGGGGATGGGAAGGGCAGGTGAGAATGATAGTGGTGTCTCAGACCTGTTTATTGCTGTATTTTATTGATTTCTTGCGAGGGGAGAGAACTGCAGGTATAGCACACAGTTGCAATTTAAATTGACTTTTCTGCTGTTTAAGAAGTTTTGGTGTGGTTTGCCCTGGTGACTCATTGGGACTTTGCAGTGCACATGGTTTGGAGGGTTGAGATGTACAGCAGGATCTTTCTCTCCAGTTTTTGGAAGTAAAGAAAGTCCAAACAGATCTTCAGCTTGTGAATATACCCACTTGATTGAGACTGCAGATGTTCTTTCATTCTTCCACACCTGATTAGAAAACCCAGAGAATTCTGAAAATGGCCTAACAAACTCTTCATGCCATCATCATTGAGAAAATGTCTAAATGTCTGCAGCATTCCTACTTCTTTTTTTGTTTTTCCTGGGTTTTTTTCTGTTTGTTTTTAAAAAGGTTTTTGAGTGAACATTAATGTCAATTCTACCATGATAATTCTATATATTCTATACACTGGAGATGTGCTTGATAAAAGTAAAGAAATAAATTCTAACCAAATCTTCACATGATTAGGATCTAATTTGTAAGTGGTCTTGGTTTTGGGGCTTTTTTAAGCTCTAGTTTATTAATTCTTTGGGCAATATGGCATTTTCAAGCTGCCAGGTGAGATCTCAATTTGAATGTACATCTGTCTCTTGCTCAGAGGAGAAATCTGCTCTGAGCCTGCTCCAAAAGAACGGGCTGCAAGTGGTGTCTTTGGCAGGGTGTGGCTACACACAACTCTTTTTTTTTCCATCCTCTCTTCTCACCGTGACAGTGAACTCATGGCTTTATTCCTCTTTGTGTTCACACAGCTGGAAGTTGAGGTGGTGGATATGAATGGCAAAACCATGGATGGCCCGGTCCGCCTGGACATCTCGGTCATCGACCAAAACGACAACAGACCCATGTTCAAAGAGGGTCCCTACGTTGGCCACGTCATGGAGGGATCTGCCACAGGTGAGTCCGTGCCACCCCCAGCTCAGCAGATAGTGCCTGAACAAATTCTCTTTTGGTAAGGGCACTATTGTCACTTCGTACACGTTTTTGTGCTGATTTTTGTGGCTCGCCGGATTCTTCCTCCGCGAAAAGGAGTGGGAGCAGCACAACTTCAGGACAACACGTAATGGTTCTTGAAAAAGAACTCTCTGCATTAAAAAATGGAAGGAAAAGGAAAAAAAATCAATAAATTAGTTGGAATAGGAGCTTTAATTTAGGTGCATGTTTTTTATTCATCTCTGGAATCAACAAAGACAACCCCTAGGATATGATTAAGATTCAAACCAAATACCACGAGCAATTTTTGTGCAGAGTAGGAATTTCACAATTTTTCCTGCAAGTTTAGTTACTGGAAGGGTTATTTTTATTTGTTTATGTAGCATGAGTCTAGTAAATAACACAAATAAATGGAAAGCACATTATGAAAAAACTAATGTTGTAGGGCAGATTGAAATACTGAACAATGCGGATAACAGATGTTGCAAATGCAGATAGAACAGTTGCAACAAAACAAAAACACATTGATAATTAAAGTCAGTAAGGAAAATGTTCTGATTAAATTTCCTGTTGATTTTGTCTGGTGAGGAAATTCTACAAGGGTAAGATATTGTTCCAAGTTTTAATGTGGGTACAACTATCCAAGTTAAATTCTTCCCTTATATTATGTGAGCTTTCTGGTGAATTGTGCATTTTCAGATAGAGTTCTTCATATCTAAAAATCTGTGGGTATGAAATGCATTACAAGCTGCTCCTTCAACAGATTAAAATTTTGAGGTAAATGTTTGTTTACCTCATTTGTGACAAGCTTGTAATGAAGATATTGATGATCTTTTCAGCCAAACAAGAAATGTTTCATATTTGAAAGTATGGCTGCCAGTGGAGCACTCTTTTCTGTTGTAGGTCTCTAGTACATTTTTAAACTGACAATTCTCTATTTTTATTATCCATAAATTCTCTTTGATTTTCCTTTTTTCCTGCTCTTATATTGAAGTTTACACTTCTGATTTAGTAGAGATGTTTCTCAGCCCAACTTCCAGTGAATTCTTCTGTAATGGTTTCATCCATTTTCTCCTACTGCTGCTTTGTATTGACTCAGGTATCATTTAGCATTTTGATTGTCTTTCCCATTGGCCAAAGTTTGAATAATTTTTCTCAACTTTCCTTTCCTTGCCCTCCCTCTCTTCCCTCCAGGTATTCATCACATTAAACTTCATAACTTCATTTGCCTGGTGTCAAGAGCACCAATGCTCACAAAATTATTTTGTGCACAGTAGAACCTGTGGAATCAGGGTTGGCTGGAATCAGTCACAGCTCTCTGTGCAGATGGCACCCACTCAGCCAAGGATTCCTGGTGTTTACATCTGTTTTCCATAGTTCTTCACAACTTATGGCACAGATCTTCAAATTATTCATCAGGCTCTGCTATTTTATCACAGAGGTTTTCAGAGAATATTCCGAGCTGGAAAGGACCCACCAGCTGTCGTGCTGTTCCAAATCAAAGGTTACAGCACTGCACAGCTGGGTAGAAATCCTGATGTGCTGGCAAGTGACATTCCTGAGTCCTTCCCTCTGGATTGCAATTGTGCTGTATTTCATTTTTGAAGCTGCAAAAGGAAGGCTTTGCATTGCATGTATAACCTTATTTCTTATCACAGCCACCTGCAGCTTCATCCAAGCTCTGAATCAAACCCACTCGCTGAAATTCTGCTAAAAATAAAAAATGCTCAAGTGGGTATCTTGGATTTGTCTTGATGTTCCCTGGACCAAAATGTAAATGTCCATGGATACCAATAACTCCATGAGTGATGCACAATTATGTAGAAAAAGATGCAAATACAGTGTGAAACTCATCTAAAGGGTTTGGGGCCTTTTTAAACCGTTCAGATTATATTATTATCTTACTTTAAATTATCCATTGCAGGGTTTCTGTGTGTTTTCCTGTTAGGCCACACTTTTATCAGACACAAAACCAATGGAATTCTCTAGAGACTTTCCACTCTACAGTTGAACTTAGGTATTGTCTATTCATCAGGAATATCAGAGAATTATTGATAAAAAAATCTTGGAGAGAGCATCAAAAACGTAAATATCTAAACCTTGATTCTAAAAATCAAGTGAATATTCATATTAGACTTTCCCAGCATTACTGTAAGACATATTTTCCAGCTTTTTATTGTTTTACAAAGTAACTTTTTTTCCTTAATGATTTGAAAGTTAATTTCCTGATTACGGGAGAGCACAGAAATTGCAGTGAAAATTCCAAGCACCTTTTAAGAATCTTCTTTTCTCTTCTATTTGAGATAGATAGAAATCCACTAAAACTGAAGAAAACATGGAAACAACGCATGATTTTTGTATTTATTTAATCTATGTATGAATAATTAAAGAGCCTTTTGAGCATAGTCCCAGTGAGGACGGTTTGGATGGTGTTTAAATAGCTTTTTTTATGTCACTAAGGCCATTCACATTTTTTTGTGCTTGATTTTTAAACACAGTAAACACCACTGGTTATTTGGACACCTACAATTTATGTGCCATCACATTTCTGGAGAGGCAAATACCTGCCTATAATTACTGAGAATATAAACTGCATTACAATGAGTATTCATCTGAATTTCAAGCTAGGGCTTGCCAGATCTTATAATTAATGCTAAAAATATGTGACTGCTAGGTGATACTGCTACAGATTTATTTCTTGATATATCATTCCTACGGAAATTTAATAATATAGTTAGTTACAGTAAATTAGCTCTTTTCAGAGAAAATTGTCATGGTTCTGAAAATAGCCCAGAGTCAAATCCTAACGAAGTACACTCAAATGTGTGCTTAAAGTGACCACAGATGTGCTGAGATTTCTCTTAGATCTTCTCCTGGAAGAACTGCAAACTTGGAGGGTATTTATCATAAATAAATAAATTAGAAGACCAGTAGAAACTGTTTGAAGACAGAAGAACCAGTTTGATTTGTTGTTTTTTTATTTATACCAGCTCCCATTTCTGTAGGACGTTGCAGTCAGCATATATGTACCAGGAAAATAATGGCTGAGCCTGATTCAGTGACACTGATGGCAATTTTTGGACTGACTGTAATGGGTTTTGTGTTCCCCTGTACTGCTGATTTCTCATGTTTTTGTTTTCTGAGTTATGACCCAGTTTATTTCCTGTAGATCTCTGATTTTTCCAGCTGCCAGCTCAAGGGTTGAGGATCTGTCTTGCAGCAGCCTCACCTCAGCACAGTAATGAGGGTGACTCCAATCCCATGGATTCCACAGGCAGGCAGGAACATTTGGATATCTCACTTTTAGAGGCTGGAAAGTGCAGGAGGGTAAAATGAACTTGGCAGACACCTCATTTCTCTTGCTGGAGGCACTTAACAGAAATTATTTTAAACACATTTGACATTAGGTGACTTACAACAATATGCTGCAAACCCAGTGGGGTTAAATCTTAACTGCAGTGGTTTAGCAAAATTGCTTGAGAATTGCATTTAGAGAAAGTAACTTGTTTTCTGTGGTGCACAATAGCCTGGATCCATTGCATTCCAGCCAAGGAGCCTGGACTGACAGATGTCTATAAATAATTGCTGGAAATAAAGGGACACTTGGAGACATTTAGAGAGGAAACAGAAGGAATTAAGAAGAGTAGCCTAGAGGGTTCTGCAGTATCATAAAATAGTAATTTATAGAGATGGATAAAACATGAGGAAGAGGCTGAGTATCATTGGTAGCTCTGCACTGGAAAATAGTGCAGTGGTTCAGGCAAATGAAAACTGGTGCTGAAATGGTGCCTTTTTATTTAGAACAACCTGCCAGGATGGTTGGTTTGTTGGTTTGGTTTATTTTTATACTTAACCTAACAATAAATTTAATACATAAATTAATAGAAATGGGATTGTTTATGACAGATGGAGTCAAAAGAGTCCATGAAAGGGAAACAAAAGGCTGGCTGGCCTAGCAAAGTGGCAAAAATAAATTTGGATTCGNGCTGCAGTCTTTCATATACTTCAAATATTCTGGTACTGTTTTCCAGACTCTCTTTATTTGTACCTTGTAATCCTTGCTGCCCTGTGGCATAAGAAGATTGCCAAAAGTAAAATGAATCAAATTGCCTTGAATTTGGTGAAGTCTCAAAGTTGTCTTCTTTTGACCTATAAATCTCAGAGGGAAATCAGAGGGTGTGTTTATAAGTTGTATTTTTAAATTAAAGATTAATTAAAAAAAAAAAAGTCCCAAAGAACCATTAGAAAAGGATTGTAAAGAATGTAATATATTTTTATTTAGGTAAAAGTAGAATCTGGAGTTTTCCAGTCTTCTGATTCTGCTTGGACCAGGGTTAGGGTGACACTTGAGTCTTTTTGTCATACAAGTTAAAGTCTTGTCCATAAATGCTTATTTGTTGATATTTTATTGAGCTGGGTTTTTGCAGTATAAACTTAGGAGTATCTATAAATCTGACCTGCAAAACAGAAATATCTCAGAAAATTCACCTCAAAACTATCTCAAAATTAAATGTTTGACCCTGAAGGTTTTTGATTCATAGCACATGCCACTCATAGCAATATTTAGATTTAGAGATTTGAAATGTCAAATGTTACGTATTTAATCATGAAACTTACTGCTATGAGCTCTTGTGGAAAACGAAATAATAAATTGGAATGAAACTGTGGATGAGGAAACCTCTGAGTCAAGGGAAGCCAAAGAATACACAAAACTCCTTTATTTGTTAAAACCTGCCTGTTCCACAGCTTTTCCCCAGTCCTTCCTTCAGGAGATGGAATGCTCAGCTTTGGGTATAACTCAGCAGAGCAGTTTCTAAGTTCCTTTTCTTCCAGATGTGTTCATTTCTGGGCAAACTTGAAATCTTGCTGATGGCAAACCTTCAGCCATCCTTTCTTGGGATTAATCATCTGCATTTCAGCAAAACTCCACTCACTGCCTCAAAATCCTTTGTAATCTGGCCTGG